GTCATTATTGTTATTATGCATTTATAATAACAAAAATCATAAATACAATGGACTCTAATTTACTTCTCCTGGAATCATCCCATATTGTTATGACATAATACAACGCCCCACACCTGAAATAGTTCCTTCACGACTTCTAAACTGCTAGAATATGAAAATAATTCCTTTAGATTAAACATTATTCTTTCCCTGTAAGCTTCATTTAAAATGAAAATATTCATTAAAGGACTAACACAATAAATCATTACCACTTTCATATTAAAATGTGTGATGAGATTCTCATTTTCTCTTAGGGCATGGAGCTCCCAGGTAGTGTGAATTTGTTATGTTTCCTCTTAGGTCAATGTCTCCAAATTTCTCACACTGACCAGGAAAATTATAGAAAAGGATTTTTTTTTGTTTAATTTTTCCAAGAATCACATTTGAAAAATGGCATTGAATATCACATGCCAGTTGTCAAGCCTCATTAGGGTAGGATAAGAAGACAGCTGTTTCAAGCAAACTGCAGAAAGCAATTAAGTGAGAGATGGTAGGAGAAAAATTATTTTTAATCTTTTAACTTTGGAGCATCCAGTATTCTAATAATGCTAAGTAGTCTTGTCAACTGATTCACTTAAAAGAGAACATCCCATTAATTTCTGTTTCAAGAAATTCTAGGGCATCGCTTCATATCTGTCTGCTTTCTCACATCACCTTTTTAAGTCTAAAATCAGAGTATTCTTTTCCTGGTAATCTTTCCTCTTAGATCTTGAAATTGACAGAGCAATTTAACAAGTTATTTTCTATCAGCTGAGATTGGTGAAAGCACTTTCTGGACTTGATGAATCCCTGGACTTGAGTGGTTCTCTAAGGTCTGTCCAAAGACTAGACCTAGCGTTCCTGTCTAGCACAGGAACCAGGTCTCTGTCTGTGGCATGTGCATTAAAGATGACATACAGAGTCACTTTGAAAATGTGAGCAGAATAACATAAGAACTACTGTAAAATTGGTCAAGTCTTTCTTTATTATCATTCTAACATTTCTTGAATTTCTTTTCCATGCTTTCTGAAGCCCTTTCATAAACTCCATATGTACACAGGAGACTGAGCATCAGAGGTAAACTTTATAACACTCTTCTTTTCAGTGAAATCATTTTGGCCATCTCACCATAGCAATGTCCGTTAAACCTCTAGGGTGATTAACCTGAGACTAATGGGTTTACCAAGACATGAGATATCCAGTGCTTTAACTAGGGAAGTCCTGGGCAAACCAAAATGGTCAGTCTCCTTAATCTCTGGAGAAATTATTTGCCTACAATACTGTTCTGTAAAACTCTTATTTACTGTTATGACCCCTTACCTTCTAGCCAGCTGCATGTTTCCTCTTGATAAACCCCACTAAGTCTCCAGGACTCATCTTAGTCCTTACTTACTCTAAGAAACCTTCCTAGACTCCCCAAGACTGAATTATATGCCTGTAATGCGAGTCCATGTCATCATCCTGTTCAGAACCCCTTTGGTAGAACTCAACATACAATCTTAATTTACTTTTTACTTATTTTTACACTCAGTTTCTTATGGTCAGGCAGTTTATCTATGTTTGCTACTATAACCTCATACTCCTTAAATTTTTTGAAAGACAACAGGATGACAGCAAGGACTGACAAATATTCATTGTAAAGAAGAAACTTCCAAACAATAAAGGCAAGAATGGGCTAATACAATAGTGGGTCTAACAGTGAAGGGAACTTGAAGGAGAAATGGCGAGCATCATGCCACTGGACATGTTCAAGCATCTCTCAGGAGGTTTTACATGTGATTCCTGCTCCAGGTAAATGTTCAAAGTAAATGAACTCCAAGGTCGCTTCACACTGAAATCATCTGATCCTTAGACCAATATCTCCTCAATCTACAGTATCAGAATTATTGGAAACCCCAAACTTTAGTTCTATAGGTATGGAGTCAGACCTAAGAATTTTTACATTTTATACGTGTCCCTAGAGATTCTGATGTCCAGATAGTTTTGTTAATGTCTACTATTGTTCATTACATAGCTAGGTTGGAGACACATGCCATGGAGATATGAAAACAATAAAGGCTTACAGTAATTCTCATCCTCTATGTTTTCATAGTCCAGATAAATGACTCTGGGAATTTCTCACAAGAGAGAATATATTTAAAATCTGGGTTGCCTGGGTCTGACTTAAATCAACTCTGCTCCCATGCAAAACCTTTTAACTCAGGTTAATTTTCCAAATTCGTGGATCTAGAGCAGTGCTTCTCAACTTTGAATGTACTTTATAATCACCTGGAGTGCTTTAAAAGGATATGAAAAAAAATGGACATTTGGCCCCTGTCCCAAGTGATCTTGATATGATTTGTGTGGGGTGGCCTTTCCAGTTGATTCTAAGTTTCAGTCTAGGTTGGGAATGACCCTTGGGAAGTGACGGCTAAGTTGAGATTTAAATATAAGCAGGAGTGGGTCAGGTGAAGTGTACACGCTTGTGTGTGTTAGGAGGAATGTTGTTAGGTAGCATGGTAGTGAGGATGGGAAATCTAGACAAAGCTTTTCACCTGGGAAAAATTCCTATAAGTTTTGCACCGGGCAAATGCCTATGATTGAAGTTAGCTGATGATAATGTGTGTGAAAGTGTTTTATAAATGGAAGCCTTTTTTTTAATACTGTTAATTAAATTTAACTAAATTTTAAATTCTTAATGGTACAACTTTTAATCTACAGAAATTAAACTATTAAAGATATTTAAGAGATCAACTCTTCACATATAGGTCATTTGTCATGGTAATCTCTGATTATTTTATTTTACTTTATTCTGGAAGCAGAAATCTACACCCCCAGATCCCAATTACTTTTAATCCATTTGGCTATGGAAATTTTTCTTTAATATGTGGTTATATGTTCTTGCCTCATTAATTCCTATCTGGTGAGTATCACTGGATTTTCCTTGAATAAATAAGTCTGTGATTCCCTCAGGGACATTCAATTAACAGTGTGTAAGAAATTTAAGTCAGTATGTCCTGACCCTAGGACATACCCAAGAAGTGATGTTGTGAGGGAAATTGCTAACTAACATCAGCTCACTTTACTGTAGTTGGCTTCTTTCCTCTTAAAGGAACATTA